GCCCGCGGCGGGAGCCGGGGGCAGGCGCGCACGTTCCGCCTGCGCGGCGCGGGGCGGCCGGGCTCCGGCGCTGCTCTGCCATCGAGCCCTCTGCTCTCCTTCCCCGAACCGGCAGGGAAGGGGGTCCGCCTCCCGGTGCCGCTGACCTCCGGGGTAAGAAGAAGTAGCAGTTCTGAAGTGCAGAGTGGCTGAGGGTAGTCGTTGTTTAGCTTCTTGCAAAATGCCCGCTGTTTCGGTGTTTGAAATTAAACGTGGAAAGTACGGAAGGCAGATGGAAACCAAAACCTCAGCTGCAACTGTGATAGTTGTGTTTTCCCCTGAGCAATAGAGCCTTTCTGATTTATGCTGCTTTTCTGTTTCTAACACTATTTTACAAGTATTTATACTTGCTATTTTACAGTAAATTTCAGTCAGCATGTCTTCATTAAAAATACTGCAGGCTTTCTTTGAGGCCACTAAATTGTATATCTTAGCATAAGAGAAGAAAAAAAAAAAAGTCAGCAAGAGACTAGATACCTATGATATAAACAGTGAGGTAAGTTCAAAGAACCATGAATCTGAGACACGTCGTGCAGTGGTGAGGCTCTGTCTGCCCTTCTGCGTCTGGCGCAGCCGTTCCTCTGACCTCGGAGCCTAGCTAGGCAACCGCTCCAAAGGGGCGCCCACAGCGTAGCGCTTAGAGGCAGGGCTGGCTAGCTGACTTGAAGCAGCAGCAGCCTGCTAACAGGGCTGCTCTGTTTCAAAATCTGTGCTGGTATACCAGAATAGGGCTGCATATGCAAGCCTCGAGTACAGCCAGAGAGGTTGTACACTTGTAGACACAGTTAAAATCAACTGTAGACAAGTGTGGTGGGCTGAGCTCGGCAAGAGTACTTCTGGATAGAACTAAATTCTTGCAAAATTTTAGTACGCTTTGTGCGTGTCCGTTATTCTGTGATAAATGGAAAGAAAGAAAAAAAAAGATTTGGCTCAGATTTTGCTACGTAGCCTCTGCTAATTCCTGATTTTAATGTGCAAAAGGCAAGGAAAACAGGAACACTAGGAATGGAATTTATTGCTGAGCTCAAATTTCATTAAAATGTCACGGACTCACCCACCCTTCAAAAAAATTTTGAGTATGGTTATATAATTAGTAATGAAGATGTCTCTTCATCACATTGTTTTATTTCACCGCTGTGCATACATTGTTGGTTTAAAAAGGGAAATAAATTATGTTTATTAAAAACCACTTTCTCTTAGCTTCAAAACATTATAAAAATGTTGTCAGTAACTTGTAGATGAATATTTAGGGAGGAAAAAATAGTTGTTGATAGAAATACATTATTACAAATATGCTTACTGCTGATCAGTTGCTGCCTGTTTTAAGGTCTGTATTTTTGTTCCTTTGTTCTTCTCTCCAGGATTTGGAATGCTCTGACTGATAATTATGGTAACGTAATGCCAGTTGACTGGAAATCTTCCCACACCAGAGCTTTGCACTTGCCAACACTCAATCTTTCAGAAAAAGGGGTAAGTTCTGATCAGCAGAAATACCCTCTTTGGATCTTTTATACTCAGCAGGGAAATAAAACAATTTGCATTTGTATAAAAGAGTGTTTTTATTAAATGGCTTAAAATATTTTTAGTGCTTGGCATTATACATGAGGGGGTTTTAAAAATCAAAAAAATCAAATAACCGTTGATGTATGTTTGCACCTCCTTGGATTGGAATAATTCGGGGTTAGTTTTAGATGGATGGTCATTAGAGCCAGAGCATGATAGAAGAAATTGTAAAATGAGAAAGTGTTTCACATAAAATCTTTCTACTGTCTGTTTCATGTTGAAACATGAAACCTTTCTGGGTAAGGGAGGAAAAGAGACAGGAGTACTCTGTTTTAGTAAATCCAGTGTGGACTTTAAGTTCATCTCATTCTGCCGTCAGGTGGAGACTACAGTGGCTTCTTTTACAGGAAAGGTGACCCAGGAGACAGTGAAATGCAAGAGTTAGTTTGTTTTGGTTTGTTTTTCTGATTTAACAAGTAGAATAGTTGTCTGGGGAGGGAGCAGGGAATGAAGAGCTTCAGAGAGGTTTATAGAAAGGGTTGTCCTCTGATCTTCTTAAAAGTGGATTAAAACACTTCAGGACGAAAAGCTAGGAAGAATTCCCATCTTCCAGGTCTTCTGAGGAAATGAGTGGCTTACCTTTTAAACATAGTGAAGTTGGGTTATGTTGTGAAAATATCTGCGGGTGTAACCTGAGAATAGGGTAATGCTTTGACTTCCACCGTCCATTACATAGTCCACAGCTACTTTGTAGTATGACAGGAACAAAGATTGTTCTGCTGAGGAGGATACTGTGGGGTTCAGCAGGGGAAGATGGCAATTTGGAACTCACTTTCTTGATTTGAGTCTGATGATGATTCCTTGAATTTGAATTGTGTTTATTCTAATTTTTATTAGAATCTTTGTTCAGATTTTCTAAGTGGTTTTAGAGTAATTGAACGCTTACATTTAAAGTAAAAAGACTTACAACCCCCCATGCTGTGACCTTGTTGTGTGACTGAAAAATGGACTGGAAGACTGGAAGATAGATTTCTAGGAACTAGGTACAAGATAAAAAAAAAGTTTCATATAGTTTTTTTAGGTTCTTTGCAGGAAGTTATGAAGGAACTACATAAAAAAATGTAAAGTGGTGTTGCTAGATTAGAAAGAATCTTAGGTATGCTGCCAGTAGAGGGGAAAATCAGTTTATGGATTAAAAATATCTCAAGTTTTTTCAGCTTTCACTCCACCTGGCATGCTTTTTGATGTGTAAAGCCCATCTGTTTGGGAGCGTTTGACATACTTTTTTCCTACTTCTCTGTGTTTCAGCAGTATTTCTGGATATGTGACAGCACATATGGACCAGCTAGTAGCTTGTTTTAACTTTCTTGCAATGAATACTAACAGCTAAGCAACACTTCCTTGATGCGTTTGAACTAATAATATGCTGTGGAACTTGTGCTTAAAGTATTTCTCTTCCTGTTTTAGTAGGGAAAAAATCTAAGGTGAATGAGGCTGCTTCATCTCATCTTTGTGCTTCACATCACAGATCTGTGAACACTTTTATACAGCTCTGACGGTGAAAGTTGGGTGGAAGTGTTATACAGTGGTACAAGGAACAGGATTGCGCAATTGCTTGTTTACTGTATTTTTGTTAGATTACTTTTAAACAAGTCATTCGCTGGTACGAGTGTGAGGACAGAAACAGGCATGGAGTGTGGCTGGGTGGAAGGCCAGGTGGTCCTCTTGGCATCAGCTGTAGCTTGGGCTGTTTTAAGTGGCTTATTAGCCTAAATTATCAGAATATATTCTGATAGTCTCTCAAAATGTTGTTTCTGGAGATGTCAGGAGGGGAAGCTGACCTTCTTCTAGATAAACTGTTATCCTTGCTTACTATCCCATAGATAATAGTCATAAACCTATATACATGGGAGAACATTTGAGGACTGCAGACATTAAAGAATGTCAAAACTGGGATGTGTCTGTGCAGTAGGTGAACAGATATTCTTAGTGGAGCCCTATCATTTCATAGTTATTGGAATTCAAATTCTGGAAAGAAGTGGACATTTGACTTCATTCTTATGGCTGAAGAAATAGAAATTGTGTATTTTCCCCTATAGACTAGCTGTCTGGGGATATTAGCATCTTCAAAATTAATCTGAAGACTATTAAGGTTTCTAAGGAAACGGGAAAATTGAAGGAATGACAACAAAATGAAGACTGAGACAGTGAGACCAAGGACTTTATACAGCTAATCCTAATGCTTGTAAATTAGCCCAAAGATCAGTTAAAGTGATTGAGCTCAAAATGTCAAAGGTTAGGGGTTTCAGCTTTTGGGGGCTGGGGGGCTTTTCTAGCTTGGTTTGGCTGGAATCTAGTAATAGACAAATGCAGAAATAGCAAACAACTTTGTAAATAAACTAGAACATATCACCATGTGAGAGTAAAATATACTTGACTGATTAAGGAGGGGACTTAAATCTTTTCTTTTACTATATATACATCTTCAGTTTTGAAGGGTGGATGTAATTTGATGGTATATGTGTGGGAACAGCATTACTTCTGTTGCTTTCTGAAAAGAGCCTGAGATATTCAACAATATATTTTTAAAATAATCTGCGGTGATAACTGTGTTCTGTTTTTTAAAACAACATTTTTTGTGTCTTTTATTACGTGAAAAAGTAGAACTATAAAAGCGCATAACATAACAGGTTCATATAATGTTAGGTTTTCACCCCACACTGAAAAATGTCTGTCTTTTAAATAGATTTAAATATCTACATTGGATTGACTGCCTTCCATGCAGATATCTGCATGTCATTGCGTATATGGTCTTTATATGCTGAGGGTATTTAAAGACTTTAAAGACTGACAGCTATTTTAACTTTTCCCAGTTGCAGTTTTGATTTCAGTTGTTAAAGTACTTCAGTTTCCAGGTATTTGACAGCAAGAATCATTGATTCCATTATTATGGGCAAGGAATCCGTTTCATTCTTAAAATTCAATATTAGTTCCCCTTTTGTTTTTTATATATGTGCATGTATTTTGTATATATACACACACACAAATGTGGGTATATATATTTATATAAATATTTCAATGCTTTCTAGGTAAATGATAACTTGAACCTTGACCTGTCAGATGATGAAGAGCTGAGAGAACAGTTGGATATGCATTCTATCATCGTTTCCTGCATCAATGATGAACCACTCTTCACAGCAGAGCAGGTAAAGTTCAGCAAAACCAGTGATGGTGGTGTATATTCTTTTAGTCTGTAATAATTTTTTGTTCTTCTTCCTTGCTGTTCACCATAGCTAAGCTTCTTGATTGTTCTTTATTTAGGGTCACAATAATGTGCGAGATAGATAGTCATTCAGATTTGAAAAGTATTCCAGCGCTTCAGGTGAGGTTGATAGTCCAAGGTCTTTGAAATCTTTATGAATTTCTTACCATGAATTAGTCAGAAATACTACTAAACTAAATATATGTGTTAAGAAGCAAAAATATTTTCAGAATGTTGATGGTGGTGTAGAGTTTACTGTAGCTTTCCAGCATGACTGTATGACCGATGGTATCTTCACGTGGCTTTGTGGTTAGCGAGAATTCTTTGAAGTTTTTGGCTAATATGAGAGCAGATCAACAGTTCTGCTACTAAGCTTTCAAATTACTTAGTGTCTAAAGGCTTGTGTTACAAAGCCATGGATTTACTTCAGTTATCTTGAAAATTGCTCTTCTGGATAAAGTTAATGACTGTCCATTAAGACCTGCTTTAGTAAGCAAACACAATAATATATTTTCTTGTTGCTTGAATGGTTGCCTGTGAACTCTAATGAACATGATTATGAAGAGTACAAGAGACCGGATTGCTTGAACTGCCTCAGCTCTTTTTTGCTGTGGTGGATCTCAGCACTGTCTACAGCCTTTAAACCTACACAAGTGATGTGTTATTTATTCAGCTCTTCAGTTAACAAGTTAGCCTGTAGAAATATGGTCATTTCTATACTGAAAACTAAGCTCTCTATGCACAGGATTTCTGTTCTCATACTTTCTGTCTGGCTCAGATCTTACGCCGAGAGATGCAAATCAGCTTCAAGCTGGATCAGTTCATAAAACTTCTCATAAGCAGAGTAGATGTTCAAGTTATTCAGAGCTGCTTTTTTTTTTTTTTTTTTTTTTGCTTAGAGAGATGCAGTGAAATGGAAGGTGGGAAGGTAATGATTTTTGGTGTTGTTTTGTTTTCCTTCAAGTGAATATTCAGGAAAGATATTCCAGCTCGCTCTTTAGTTCAGCTCTCTTAAGCAGAACAATGTGTACCTTCGTATAGAAATAACTGTGTAACTTCAACACACAGCTTGTTATGAGATCACCAGTCTACCCTGAAAAGGTAGGCTTATTCTCAGAGAGTAAGGATGGGGAGGAAATGTCAATATGATTTTGTTGATTCTCTTCCATCCAGTCTTGGTATTAGTTTCATCCAGCAGCATCTTCACTAATTGAAAGTAAAAAAACAACCAAAACCAAAACAACCCTTAAGCTCTTAACAGCTTTGCTTCAAATTGCAGGCTGTTTCTCTTCCTGCAGCAGGGTTTTCATAAAGGTTTTCATTTTTTGAAGGTGATTGAAGAAATAGAGGAAATGATGCAGGAATCACCTGATCCAGAAGACGATGAAACACCCACCCAATCAGATCGGCTCTCCATACTTTCCCAGGAAATTCAGACACTCAAGAGATCCAGTACAAACAACAGCTATGAAGAGAGTAAGTGATATTTATTTAGTATTTTGCTCTTATGCTTATTGAAAATAGTTTAAAGGGTAAGTTTGCCATGTGTTTGATTTATAGCAAGTCCTTCTTATGAAATATCTGCATTGAAAAATGTTTTCAAAATGCCCTGAAAGAATAAACTAGACTTAGAACATAAGTAGAAGACTTATCTTTGTCAGCTTTCATAACTTAGAATAAAAATAAGACTTTATGGAATTTCAAATTAAAGCAAATATGCTGAAGCTTGATTCACTGGAACAAAGTCCCTTCATAGGTAAAGTGATAAGTTGATAATTTTTATTAAACTTTATTAATTTCTATATTTTAAGGTGAGACACTTTCTTGAGGCCAGTACACTCTGTTTAAGAAAATTAGCTAAAGCTCTTGAAAGCTATGCAGTAAATAAAGAAGATGGTCTTTCTTTGGTACTGTTTCAGTCACTGCAACATATCTTGATATACAGTAACACAAAAATAAGGCAACTGTTGCCTTTTTTTCCCATAAGGAACTTGCATATTTTTCTCTCCTCCCCTTCCATTCCTCTCCAAAAAGCTTAAAAGTTAAAAAAAAACAACTTTGTGTTGTCTTCTACTCAACTGAAATCGTCTGTTCTTCCCTATACAAAAGGAAAGGAGAAATTAGATGTGTAGTTTAATTGTAGTAGGTTGTATTGTATGTAATGTGGTTAATCAGTTTCATGATGGAAATTTGTTCATCTGCGTATTTGTCAAAATCAATTCTAGAAGGTGATAGGAACACAAAGAATATTTGCTAGATGATCCTTCTACTTTTGTCCCTCTTACAAAGTTTGGTGCTTTCTTTCCTGTAGTCTGGGTCAGCAATATAAATTCTGTAGAAGATTCAGAAAACTGGCTGACCTTCTGTGACATGACTTACAGTTTCTGCTACACTTCAGATGTATGGAGGAGATCCCATTTTCATGGTTGGACTCAACATGTCTCAACACATAAATTTCAGGAATGTGAAAGCAAAGTGCATCCTGCTCAGCAGGGCTTCCTGCTTTTCTGACAGTCCCATATGTCTTTAGGTTTGGAGCTAATCAAGCTTACTTGGTATTTCATATCATATTTATTTTGCTTTGCCTCAGGAGTTCATCTTGTCTGTTGCATCTTTGTTTTAAAGGTTAGCCCTGACCAAACAATGCTTTGAGTTACTTTGGCAGATAATTTAACTTTGCTTCATCAGTTTCTCAGAATCTGCTTTCATGTCTTTCAGGTCACTATTTTATGAAAAGCTCTTGCTGCCTTTTTTCTGTGTGTGAAGCTGCTTCAGAATTAGTCTGCATCTCTCTGAAATTATTGCAGGCTTTTCCTAGAAACTATCTGGCTTTTATAAGACAAGTCAGAGATGTTAATGTTTAGGTCTGAGAGCAGGAAATTGAAGCTTGTATTTACTTTTTTCTTGGATAGGAAAAGACATGTATTAAGACAGTCCAAAAATAAAACTAGTTACAGCTTTGGTTACACAGATGAGTCCGTTAGCCTACATATCTAAGATTTAATCCAAGTAGTCTTCTGCATTTGAATTACTCTGTCTTCAGTCACCTGTGTCAGCTGAGTAGTTCCTATGTAGCCCTTTTGTAGGCTTTGATAACAACAACTGATCTATCATAAACAAGTCAAGATTGCAGCTGGGTAACCTGCACCTATGTTTTTTGAATAATTGTTACTTAGGCTGTGAAGCTGGTTCTTAAGTGTTGGGACTCACTGGTGCGCTCTCTAGTCTTCTTTCACAAAAAAAAAAAAAAGCAGTGCTGCAACCTATGCTTTTTAGACTCTCCTTTGTACTGAATGCATATGGAACTTACTCATATTAATTTTTACCACAGAGTATACTCAGTTTCACAGACTGTAAGGCCTGTTCTGCGGCTTGCACCCACAGAGCACCAGATAATTTTGTCGCTGAATCTACCTTTCTTTCCCCTGCTAATGTTTGAGTTGATGTTGCTATTTGCTATTGCTGACAATCAGCGTTGACTTTGCAAGAAGTTTTTGCTGTGGTAAGACCTGCTGTGGTATGTGCAATGACTGTGAGCATATTTAGAATAGTTTAAACAACAATATAGCCTATGGATGGTTCAAACTACTCGAAAATTAGATCCTTAAGCATATGGTACTGTTACAGTCTTTGAATAGAGTTTAAGGCCTAAGCTACTCTGAAAAACTGTGGCTGCTTGCTGGAGAATTGCCTTAACAGGCTTCATTGCTTTTTCTTTAATAAGGAAGTGACAAGGAGCTTTCTGCAATCAGTTTTCCCTGCTGTAATTTAAGAGAGAAAAATCACATTTCACTTACTACCTTTGGTGCTTCTAAGAGCTATACTTTTTTATAGTTCGTAGCCTTATTTGTATTTTTTGACACTTGTCCGTAGGCACTTTCCCTTATAACAATTTTTTTAGACATGGCATTTACTAGACTAATTCAATGTAACCAAATAATTATGAACATCTATGCAGTATCTTTAAACAGATTGTACCCTTCAGTGTAAGCAGGACTAGCTGTTTCTCAAATGCCAATGAAAACCATGTTCTTTGACATAGCAACTGCTGGGACTTAGCTTCCTAGGTGTGTCAGACTTAATTGGGAATGGAAAGCAGTCCTCAAAGAACATGCTCACTTTTAACCTAAGCAAGCTTCAGAACATTCTTGGTCATAATTTCACTCTCTGTAACACGTGACCCAATAGTACCTTTAAAATGCAAACCTGGAAGGTTTTTTTGTTTCCAAACGGACATTTTACAGGCTTCTGATTTAGCGTTGGCCAATTCAGTCTCATGCTTTCTCAAAACCATTAATGCTTATTTTTTATTTGAATGAGCCTGTCAGCTAATTTTAATCTAGGTCTTTGTTTCAGGCAATACAAGGCGATGCTTTTGACTACAATCGCCAGACAGAGAAAATTTGGAGTATTTTGTTGTTTTTTCTACTAAATGCATCTAAAAATACTGTCATAAGAGCTTGGTGCAAGCTTTTACTAATATGCATGCATACCATAGCAATATCCCCAAGAAGATTCCCTCGCTCATAGAGTATAGTTTCTGTATTACTGTAGGTGAAAAATCCAAGGTTTCCAGAAATGCCAAAGTGTTGATTCTTGCATCAGAAAATATGAAGACCTTTTACTTTGAACAGCAACTGTACGTGGAAAGTAATAGTTAACAGAGGTGTGAGTATTAGAAGTTTAGTGCTTACTTCAGCTTCCTTAACTACAACATGATCTTCATATTTGCAGATTATCTCAGATTTCTTGGAAATAATAAGAAAGTTTAACCATCTTCTTGTTGCTAATCTAGTTGCCTCTGCGATGTGTTTATTCTTTTAGGAATATTGTTTTGTTCTGTGTAGTTTTAGAATTTAATTTTTTGTTTTGAAAAATTTAAGTACTTTTTTCTTGTAATTACAAGTATTCTCACGCTTGAAATCTTGACAGATTACTTTTTATATGAACTATTTCTAGGAGTAAAACGATTGTCTGTTGCTGAGTTAAATGAACTGCTAGAAGAAATTGAGACTGCTATTAAGGATTATTCTGAGGAACTGGTACAGCAATTGGCTCTACGAGATGAGTTGGAGTTTGAGAAGGAAGTGAAAAACAGCTTCATTTCTGTCCTCATCGAAGTACAAAACAAACAGAGAGAACACAAAGAAACGGCAAAGAAGAAAAAGAAGCTGAAAAATGGTAGTCCTCAGAATGGCAAACAAGAGAGAGGTCATATGCCTGGAACAGTAAGAAAATTTTTGTAACCATTTATACATTCAAAATATTTTTTGTTTTTTCCCTATGGGAAGTAGTAGTCCTACATTATATCAAGATACCTGGCACACCTGCTCCCATGCCTTCGTTCAAAGACAAGGCTTAGGCATTTCCTATTGACATTTTTTTCACAAGGTCATATAACATTTTACTCTTCTTATACTCAAAAAAGATTTTTTTATTGTTTGCAAATTAGCCTGGAATCAGCATACCTTTCTTGCAAAAAATACTGTCTTTGGATGTACTGCTGTGTGTTCTATTGTCAGTAGGCAAACTGATTTATCTGTGTGACTTTTAGTATGTGTGTACTACTGCTAGTCTTGCAGGTAGTTCGGTGTTATTGTTGGTGTAGTTGTGTAGATATTTATTGATCATGTTGGGTTTTAGGTAGGAAAAAAGTTAAAGTCTTACCCTGGATCTCTTGAAACCTGTGTCAGAGTTACTACGTCCAGCGAGAGACAGGGGTGAGGCCAAAGTGTAGTGCAGGTGTACAGGAAGGAGATCATTCGGTTCATCCTTTACAGAACACAGTAACAAAAGGAAAAATGTCTTTCAAACAGAGCTTGAATAATAGGAGGCAGAGAATGAAGGAAATAAGATTATTATCTTGTCAATGCGATTTTTTTCTTTCTTATCTGTCTAGTATAATTTTAAGTTACTTAAATGGGATATTAATGTTAGAATTTCTTAGTGTCTCGCATAGGATGTGGAACGTGTGATTAATGTATTGTAGATCTTGGCTAAGTCCCAGAAAGAATGCCTGAGTTTAACATAGAAGGTTTTTGGATTTGGTTTTCAAACATAAGGAATAAACATTTGTAATGAAACATGAATTCTTCAAAATCTAATTCTAAACTCAGAAGAATAAGATACCTGTGATATAATGCAAATGGAGTTCTGATCTTGTCCGTCTAATGAAAAGTGTTTGTGTCCGTAGCTAAGTTTTAATGGAACTCTTAAGTATACGTCTGGAAAACAATACAAAATTGTCCTCCCTTTGCAATAGCACAGTGAAAAGTTCAAACGTACTCCTTTTTGGTTCTCAGTCATGGAAAAACAAAAAGTGGTATTCTAACTAGAAAGAAAAATAATTACGTGGTTTTGAAACTTGTGTCAAGTGATTCACAAGCTGTTCTGGTTGGTTTCAAGTTGAGAGACTTGAATGATGCTTTCAAGTATAACTGTATGTGGTCCTAATATAAGACGTTTTCATATTTGGTTGCTTCAAAATAAGCATGTGTCAGATTGCTTTCTGAGAGGGATTGGACAAACTAGCTCCCAAGTAAGACTGCAGGCTGCGTATGTGTGGTTCTTTTGAAAATAGCTTTCACTATCACCAAGTACAGATTTAAGAGCCTTCTCCCAGAAAGAGGCACAAGCTTCCTTCCTTCAACACTCCTTTTTTTTTTTTTCCTTTTTTTCTTTTTTTTTAAGGAAGTACTGAGAATGTGGATACAGATAGTATGTTCAAGTAACTTTGTGAAGAGTGAGTTTGTTAATAAATAATGTATAAATTAATAACTTTATTAGCTAAAACTTTAATGAAGTCTCGTTTAAATACAAAGCTTGGAAGTAGGGTTAAATTTTCATACTTTTAAGAAAATCAGTTCTCCTCTAGATGATACTATAATTGAATTTTTAATAAATAGAGGTTTTAATTCTTTGTCCTTGATGCAGTCTTTGGGTAAATCACTTTCTTAGACTTCTAAAACTTTTCCCTCTCTCACAAGGGCAAACTGGGGAGTAATCAGGATATCTTAAAAGACTTAAGATGGCTTTGGCAATTTCTATGTCTATTTACTGACCTCGTTGTCCTTTACAAAGCAGATGAATACTGTATTCCAGCACATTTTATTCCCCCTCCCATCAATAAATATGTTCAGGTAAGCATGCTGAGGTGTGCGCATCATCTTGCCCTGTGTCAGCAACTTGACAATTTCTTCTTTTTATGTTCTTGTCAGTTGCTGATTTTTATATCTCATGCTAAACATCAAAATTGTTTGGTTTTTTTTTTCTTTTTTTACTCTCTTCTTCAGCAAAAAGGATTACAAAGTTCAAGAAAAAAACTGTGGTTGAATTATATATTATTTTTTCTTTACTTGGATTCCATGATTTCATGTAATGGAGCTTGAAATGAATATGAGTGCCTTATCAACTAATTGTGTATATTTTATCATATTGCAAAAAATGGGGAATACTGATTGTTGCTTCAGTTGTGGAAAAGGAAGCATGAAAGCATAAAATGTTTTAAAGAGGTAGAGCTGAAAATGACTACCTCTGAACAGTGTTTCTAGTAGGTTCTTAAAATCTGAAAAATTGATATCAGCAGTGTCTCTAAAAGCATATTGCTCAAACACGAATTTTAAAGGAGATTGTACTGTGAACTAAACTTTCAAAAATACTATTTTTTACATTTCAAAATGAAGCAGCCTTAAAAGGCAAGACTCAGTTACTGGGTCTGCAGTGTGACGATTTTGTTTGATTAAATTTTGATGTAGATATGCTGCTTAACTGCCATTATAAGGTTTGCTTTTTAATTATAAAAATTAAGTAAGTGAATGAAAAGATAGAAATGTGCTGAAATACATCTTACAGCTTGTCTTTGTCATTCATCTTTTATAGTCTTGATAAATGCTGATTAATAGTCTTCTGAACTTTTCTCTGTCCCTTTTTTTTCTTTCTGCTATGTTTTCACTACTTTTAGCGCTTCAGCATGGAAGGGATCTCAAATGTCATACAGAATGGCTTCCGCCACACGTTTGGAAACTCGGGTGGAGAGAAACAGGTGCTGGGCTATCTTCTCTCTTTTCCTCATTCTTTGCCTGCACTTTCGGTAGGAGTTGAGACCTTGAAAATTGACAGTTGTTGAAGATAAATGCTGAGACAGGAAAAAATAGGACAGCAATGTTGGAATCTGTTCTCTTTCCCTGCCTCAGAACTCTGATCAGCCTACAGTCTCTTTCTCTCCTCAACCGCTCAAGGCAGTCAGGACTTGATATCCTGATGCACTGAAATAATAACCCTTATTTCTTACCGCAGACTAGAAGTCTGTTTTGGCATAATGCATGCTTCAAATACATTGCATGTCTGTAAAAATCTAATATCCAATTGAAGAATATGTATCAGGTTAGACACAACATTGCAGCCTTCAGCATTAAGGACTTGGGTAGTATCTACAACTGAAAAAAGGTTTTGGTTTTTTTGGTTTTTTTTTTCTTCAAATGTCCAGAGCTGATATATCTAAAAACAGAGTAGCATCTGGAAAATGCATGGACTCTATTGTATGTCTTTTTGCCTTTGAAAACTGCATGATGTTAAAAGCAGCCAAATGTGTGCAATGCAGATTACTGATATAAAATACATAAGCCATAGGCAAGTTTGTGTCTTTTCACTGGCTATTTAAATGTTGAAATATACAGCACAGAGACCCAGCTTTAGTGGGTGTCACTGTAGATGTTACATATATACCTACGAAGCAAGATTCTTATGCTTTATTTCTTAGTAATACTTAATTGTTTGTTTCAGAACTGTAGTATGTATTTTATTAAATGCATTCTATATTTTGGTAAAGTGCTAATGCTTATGCTATTGTTTAGGCTTTTGGCACACATTACAAAAGATTGGTATTTCATGTTATTTAACGCATACCCACCCATTATAGTTTATGCAGTTGTGTCAGAGAAGTGCATTAGATTTTTTTTTATTATTATTATTTTTCCCCCCTGGTGAGAAGTCCATTGAGGCAATAAACTGCCTAGTAATTTAGAAGTCATGGCTGATTAGGTTTTTGTCTGGAAGATGACTGGAGTATCCTGCAGAGGAGTGCAGGAGATAAAACAACTCCTCTCAAGTCATTCCTGAATCATGAGGTTAGAAATCATGGACTTACCCTCTGTCTCAAGCAAGGTTTATGTATGAGAGTTCATGAATGCATAGATCCAGCTATTTGTCCGCAGCTTTGGGGATCTTGAATACATGCATAGAATTTACCTAACAGTGTTTTTATCACTCTACATTATCTCAACACTGGTAAAGTAATAGCTGTACTGGTTTTGGTTTGGTTTGTTTTTTTCTTTGCTGTCTTTACCATTTAATAATAAATTACAGCTGTTTACCTGTATATTTAGCTATTTTAAATATCATATATTTTCATAAAGTGAACATATTTAGCTATGCCAGCCCCTCTTACTTTTGGTTAAAAGACTTTTTATATGCATGTCTCTATTCAAATACACCTTTTCTTCTTTGACTGCCTCCTAATTTTCTAGACATAAGTAGCATAGTCATGTATTAACAATAACACTGATTGGATAACTCTTCCAGTCATTTTTTGAGTTAGTTTAATGTTGTTTTACATGTTGATCATAACTTTTCCCATGATTTATCTTATACTATATCCTTGTTAGCAGGGTTATGGGTTGTTTGGTTTTTTTTTTTCCCTTCCTGTATCCTAAAGCCAATCATGGAAATAACAAGAACTTAAAATGAAAAATAGGGAAGAAAGGTAGGAAAGATACCAGCTCTTTTCTGATTTAGTCCTGGAAATTCATTTTTCTATGGCATTTGGGTTTTTGGGGGGTTTTTTGTTTGGTTGGTTGGTTTTTGTCACATTACTAAACCCTGGCCCTGCTTTTAAAATATTGGTGTCAGCTTATTGCAGCAAGTGGCAAAGTAAAAAAAGTATCAGATGCTTCGTTGCTTAGTGCTGCTCTCGGAATATTTGAGTGTGTTTTCAGGGTGTATTGTCATTCTAAACTCGTGTTCAGGTGTTTTCTGCTAGCAGGGAAGAGTTAGTTACCAGTCTGGAGTTGTGCTCCAAAAAAAAATACAAGGACAGACAATTTTTTTGTGTAGAAGTTCATACATATAAAGACAGCATAAAGTTTATGACAAGTTTGTACAGTTATTTCAGAACTCTTTTCAGTCTTTAATTTTAATGGTATTTACCATCTTTACTCTTTTCTGGTTAGTATTACTCTGATATTGAGTACTTCCCTTTTTAAAATTGTAGTCCTTCTTTGTGTGTGTGTGTTTGAGACATAAGTGAAAATTACTTGGGATTTTTCAGTGTATAAAGAGAAACTTCCAGTGGGAACTACCCGTTCCCATCTGATAATGCAGTTGGAAAAAACACCACCAACTGCATAAAAGCCATTGAAATGTTGGTAGCTCTTTCTGTGATCGTATTTCCAGAAGAAAATTCAAGATAGTCATCTTAATTTTGATTTTTAGGCATATTGAACAGTTTTTATGGGTGATTACAAATTGCAGTGGGAATTGCTGCTTGTCATATTGCCAAATCTGCTTCAAAAATTTAGAGGTCACAGTAGACTTAACAGTCGGGCCTGTCAGTAAGCTACACTTCAGGTTGTTTGTTTTTTTTTTCTTCCTTTTCATAATAGGTTATCCTTCACCCAGCAATTCAGGGAATTAGTTTTTATGGTGCTATTATAGAGACTTACTGTGGCAGCAGCAAAGTATTGATGAGAAAAGATGACTTCTGGAAACTAAGAAAGAAATTATTATTGTTGTTATTATTGTTGTTATTGTTATTATTATTACTATTATTATTATTATTACTGTTAGAGAGGAAAATGGGAAGGTGGAGTTTACAGCAGAAGCAGAACAGGGAATATTTGTATTTGCTCCAGTGAAACACGTCCTGGTAATTGATTGTCTAGGTAAAGGGTAGAATGCCGCTTAGTTCTGAAGGCTGGAAATGACTGCCCAGGATCTGAGTTCTGAGTTGGTAGATCTACTTTCATCTCTGACATTTGCAGATTTTAACAGCCTTATATCTAGCTATTGAGTCCGGTAATTTTTTTTAAGAGTGCAGATCTCTAATGATACCTGTTGGTTACATCTGCTGGAAAAGAAACTGAAAACCGACCGTTTCCTAAGCAGCATTGCATGCTTCCCTCTGCTGTGCTAAATGGATGTGAGAAAATGCAAAGGGAATAGGGTGGGAGGAAAGCGTGTTTGCATAAAGTCTTGGTGAGGTGTCAGTACATTCCGTACAGTAAGTTCCCTTGAGTTACACAGAATTGAGTCTGTCTGGCTTTTAGGCAGAGGTTACGGTTGGGCAGGAGGTGCATGAGCCCGCTCTAAACATGGCAACCGTTATAGCTGCGTTTGGCAGCACTAAATCTCCTTCTGCAAAGTGAACCTCTTCACCAGAGTCTGGGTTACACTTGGCTCTTGAAGTGCTGCTACTAGGAGAGGAGGAGACCTTGTATATAACATGTTTTCGGATTGTGACGTGGAGAACTGCATATCTCTCAAGTTGAATGAGAGCCAGAGGGCTGCTTTGCCTACTACCTTGTAGCTGTTAACCCAGAATAAAGTTCCTGTTAAATTGAGGGAGATTGCAGGAAATTCCAGCAATTTCAGTACTTTTGAAATGCTGAGCTCTTTAAGAAGAATATGCATTCATATAGGCTGCAAAGTAAGATGTGGCCTAAATGCATTTAATAAAAGTCTTAGAGCAACAACGTTGCTTCAAGAGTTTGAAAATAAATCTTGGTTGCACTCCAGGTAGGAAAATCCTGAAAGATTTAAGAAAATTTTTGGTTTGGGTTTTTTGGGTTTTGTTTGGTGGTTTTGTTTTGTGGGGTTTTTTTGTTGTTGTTTTGTTTTTTAAAGCTGATAAGAAGGAAAGATTTCAGAAAAGAGGAAACAGAACAAAAGTGGAGTTCGTTTGAAACAATCTGTTAGCATACTTGACTCTTAAAACTGAAAATTGAAATCAAAATCCAGATGGTGGGCTCTCATGTTTAATTAGGCTTGCTTTGTACCTTTTGGCTGGAAGTGTATAGGGTGAGAAGGTGAAAGTTGTCTGTTTTCATTTTCACCTAACTGTATGGCAGTCTAATTTTCTTTGTGCAGAGGACTATAGATCACCTTCAGAGCTGGGACTGGGCAATGCTCTTTGATCTGTCAAAATCCTTGTAATGTTTCACATTCTTAGTAAGAGTTATGCAGTCACTGGGCAAATACTGTGGCTTTATTTGAGGCTGTTCAAACACAACATATGCTGAGTTTGAAGATTCCCCCCCCCCCCCCCAAAAAAAAAAAAAAAAAACATTTTCACAACCTT